AATTGCTTTAAACGTCCCGACAGCGCATCTTCGACGATTTAACTTGTTGCATGTTCCCATTGTAGATTCTAAGTACAGGCAAAACTCATACATAATCAGAGCGAGTCGCATGTATAATGCAGCATGCCGGAGTGTTGATATCGACATTTTTTCTTCTAGTGTCACTAAATTTAAAAAACAACTGGGCAACGTTTTCTTCGACCAAGCATAACAAACAAATCACATTTATAATAATACCTATGTCTACTGTCCTATCATCCTACCATGTTCAGAGTTGTCTTCATTGTTCTAGCAGTGAAAACTTTTAATTGGCCTTCACCTATTAGTCTTATATCAATTGTAATTCTAGCTGTAAGTTTTCCTAAAATATAAAAATAAAAATAAATAAATAAAATAAATAAATTTGCATGTAAAATGCACAATACAAAATATAATTTTATACAAAACGCACCGATTTTTATTTAAGGTTTTTTATTAGAAGATGACTTTTTCGACCGTTCGTTGCTTCGATTTACGAAAATATATCCGTTCATAGATTATGAGCTGTTTTTCTATATTATTTAAGATATTTTAAGTTATGTTTATTATCATTTTTTGACTTCATATATTTTCATGTTGTTATAACCATAGCTTAAGTAGAGTAGTATTATTTGCAAATGAATGAATAGGTATATTGACTGTTAGTTAAACAAACAACACGAGTGACTCGACCAGTTATACTTATAGGTTATATTGGTAGGTAACGCTAGCGCCCGAGGCCAACAACTCGGGCTTGTTCGCACACGCACACTATTTACTGAACATGAGATGCGCACCGACTGCACACTGCACAGTACTGGCCGTGCAAGGGACGGCGAACGGTGATGACGAAGCGACGTGGGGTTTCGAATAACGTTCTTATGTTTCCGTAATGAAGTGGAAATCTTATTAACATCATCTGTTGCTCTTGTGACCAGCGAGCGGAAATACTTTACAATGCATTTCTTATGAAAAGAAACCACTGACTAAACATGAGAGCACGATAAACATGTGTAAGTACATCGTATGTAGGTGTTTTGTGATGGAACATTGGAATTGAAGCACTGAGAACTAAGAGCAGAACCGACACGATCTATGTAAAATATTCCAAATTTCCTGTTAACTCGTGCGTGTGTGCGCTCGAGTCGGTCCTTTACGCATTTAATTAAAATTGCCGATGCACATTGGTCACGAATATTCGCGTGCACCAACGCTTACGGTACAGTCTCGAGGTGCGTGATCTCCTGTCAGCAGCAGGCTTGTTCCTCTTAACATCGGATTACCGACTAAAGTTTTCCAAGACGGACTGTACTACAACTGAGGCTCTACTCAGGATGTAATGAAACACGTAGTGTTCGCTCGCTATTGCTAGTTTTAATGTCATGTTCAAAATTGCAGCTATGCCGCCGCTGGTCTCCTCTAGTCAAACGTCAGATCTTACAAGAAGTCTTAGCCAAAGTTTGAAGGAATTAGGTAGCGTGTGTGATTATGTTTAGATTGTAAAGGAATGTGTTAATTTGGTATAGGTACTTGGGTTACTACAAATACCAATTGCCCAAATTTTCATACTTAATAATTTTATATTACAACTTCTAAGAATAGACTGATGATTATTCTAATCTTTTTCTTATTGTGTATGATCCGGGGATTATTAAAGTAGATATCGGTAGTAGTCAAATTCAAAATGAAATTCACAAATGAAAAATTGGTCAAGTGAATTTCATTTATAATTTGACTACTACCGATATCTACTTTAATAATCCCCGGATTCCTGAAGAGGAGCGGTTAAAGTACCGGTTTCCTATGGGTCCCCATTAATTAAAAGAAGTTGCTCTAGCAACTTGTTATAAGAACGGCTAATATTTTAGTAGGTATACTACCTTGTTGTACTTTTAGAAAACTCAACAAGTCAATAAGCGTGCACAAGTTCGTACAAGATGAAAAACTCGGCAAGTCAATAAGCGTAGACAAATTCAGACAAGATAATTAGTGCGATCATACAAGTCTTTCAGGCACGTTTTGACCTGTTGTGTATTTGACGCATTTACGTCATTTAACACGAACGAAATCCTGATCAAGTTCAAGTCCAAACATGCTAATGATTTATTAAATATATGGTATCATTTTGGAGAAGGGGTCGCTGGCAAAAAAAAAAGTTTGGGAATCCCTGACTTAACTGATCAGACTGGGCATCGTGAACTTGGGGCCACGGCAGTGGCCCCGCCAAGACGAGCCAGATACACAGGTTTGGATTATACCAGATAAACAAAATCACAAAATTGAATAAATAAATGAAAATAAATGAAACAAAAACTCTGTATATGATCTCAATTGTAGATTTATTAAATATATAAAGTTTCAGTTGCATAGCTCTTATACTTTAGATTTTAGCTTAGAGCTAAGAGCTCGTTCACGAACACTTGGACGACCGTTACTTGATGCAAACTTTGAGGCGGGGTATAAAAGAATCCTATGAGGTGATCCTAAAAAACCGATGCTGGAAGCACTGTTCCTTCGCTTTAAACACAAGGACGGTAAGGCTTTTGTGAAGAACGTGCCAATATTTAAGAAACAATATTTAAGCAATTTCCATAAAATAGGCGCGTAAAATATAATAATATAAATACCCCTTCCTTGGAATTAGGGTTAAAAACAATGATATTATACACAAACAAGAGGATTTAAATTATCCCCAAAAAATCATTGATAAAAAGAAGTGAAATCCCACCAAGAACATGTTCATGTAAAATGTTGCCAAGACGAGAGATTGCTACTGTGTGTAAACAAAGTGCTTCGTACATAAATCGTTTAAAAAGTTTTAATGAATACATCTCAAAGAAATAGTGTTTATTCTAAAACTTACGTGTGTTACTAAAGCGTGATGTTAGCGTAAAAGTGATATTGGAGTACAAGTGGCAGAAAAATAACAAACGTCAAATTCAAACAATAACTTACAAAATGCTCAAATTTCTGCAGAAGTTCTACATTTATGCAACAGACAGAACAACTGAAAGTTTACAAACACCAAAAAGTATTAATCTAGTGAAATATAAAGTAAAATTGTAAAAATATCCAAGTTTCTCCGCATTTTCTGTTCATAGCGCCATCTATCGTAAATTGAAGTAAAGTTTTTTACACCGAATACATCAACTTCGAGCAATAGTACTAGGTACTACAACAGCACACTAGGGGACACTAGTACAACATTTTTTTGAAAAAGTGTACATAAAAAAACCTGTACCAAATATTCAAATAACTATCGCCCTATTGCTCTTTTGCCAACAGCCTTAAACATATTTGAAAAAGCTATGTGCAACCGTGTTTACGCTTTTTTGTAAAAAAAACATGATAGATTTAACGATAGTCAGATCCACAATCTTGGCGGTTGACAAATGACTGACTGACAAATGACTTGACTTTATTAATGAACAAAATCTGCGATGTTTCATTGGAATTATATTAAATTCCTAATTTTTTATTGCGCTAATATAAAGCTTACATAGACCAGTATTACTTACTGTCCATCGGGCTTGGCACCGACTTCAAACAGACCAGAAGAGGCTATTGCTATTATAATATTACCTTTTATACTGAGGGTACTTATTATAGTTTTTTTACTTAGAGATGTAATTATTTTTTAACTTTTAGTGCTCTTTGTCAGTATTGTTTGAAGTCGGTTCAACTTTTTTTAAAAGGATTTATTTTAAACTTAGAATCCGAACATACTTTTGACAGAATAGCACATAAAATAAGTATTATTGAATTTAAGCGGAAAAATATTTAACGATTCGGTTTTCCCTCATCTCGAAATTAGAGGAAATTTCAAGAACCTCTCAAAGTAAAAGATTATTATAAAAAAAAAATCAGCACTTGGGATATTAAACAGTTTTTTTTTATTTATTTCGACTGTTTTTAAACGTCTGTAATGTTACATAAGAAAATCAGAGCAATCTCCTGCTGAACTACGTTACTGTGCCCGACAGGGTTGACAATTGTCACATAATTGTTCATTAATGTTTGTTTAACGCCTGTGCCATACATTGTGCAACGCAATAAAGAATTGAGAATATGGCTCGCACTTTCAAAAAGTTATCAGATCTCATGTAGAGCCAATCTTATAACTCTACAAGCCCTAACTTCACAAACTCCACACCTTTATCAAAATATTGGTGAGACTGTTTATTGCTTTTTTATTACACAACAGTTCTTTTCTTGTGAACGAAACCTTCAAGCACATATGTTGACTAAGGTGTAGAATTTGTTTGCGACCGACTTTTGCATTGGCTGTTATAGTTCATCATTTTCAAAAAAATGCCTTTAATTTGACATATAATTAATGAAAATACGTTATGAACGTATAAAAGTCACAAAACATTACCGGCTTACTGGACCTAGGTGTGGACAAGTTGCGCGCAAGTGAGCGGTGGCTACTATCGCTTATTAAATTCTGTACAGAAATGTCTATGAAGTAGAGTGCAGTTCCGAACCTGGCCAAAACATATTCTCCCTTTTTAACTAAAAAAAAAAAAGATTGTATATTCGATGAACTTAGGAATTCTGCAGTGAGATCTCGTTCTAATACGCCTGGTGGAAAACGGCGAACACTGGCTCGCAACTTTATTGGCGTTGCCAATTCATTTTTTTTGTTTTCAAAGTAAAATATATGTAGGTACTGGCAGGTAACTAGCGGTCCACTCCGACTGCTACGATCACCTACAGCATGCATAATATATATGTGTGTGTGTGTGCTTAGCCTATCACTATCACACCTTTCAAACTTATACACATTACCCTCCCACAAAGGTCGCAATATTTTTTTATTCAAGGAAAATAGTTGTGAACCCATATTTTTTATAAGTATGTTCTACATTATTATAAAACTAAACTAATCCAATCTAAGACCTGCGAATCCCCGACGGCACATCCTGGAGGGAACACAAAGATTTTATTAAAGTAATAGAATCTATTTGATAAGAACTCACCTGCGAGTATTAGGCACAGGGAATTGGACGGTACCAACACGTCGTACCTTAACCCACTACAAAGTAAGTGGTCTCCTTACTTACGCATCTACACAATACTTTATATTGTATAGAGCAGATAATATAACAATCTTTTTATTGTCCACTGAAGAAACTAAGCGTTTATCGAGTACACGAGCGCACATGTTCCCTCGCGGCGCGTCCGCGGCGGTCTGCAAACCGTGAGCCACAACGAGAATATATGCCATAATTATTTCAGGCAGGCAACATGAAAACACGGCTTTCTGAAACGCTATACATTGCCACTTGATCGTCACTCGCGTGCATGGTGGAATAATTTATATAAAGCATAGCTGCAATGTACCGCGTGCATAAATACTTGACATATTTATAAGAGTGTGCTCAGGCATGTTTTCAATGAGCCGTGCATCGTGCATGCACACACACATACACACACACACTCACATACATACTCACACCACTCTGAGCCGTCCACACTAGCGCATTGTTCAGTAAACGTTAAGATTAATACATAGCAGTACATACCCACGGCACATACCAATCCAAACATTCAGCAATGCGTTAGCGAGCTGTATATGTACGAGTATACTTAGACTGGCCATAAATACTGTTACAATTAAAAATAACTTAATAGGTATTAGAATTTTTAATTTAGAATCTGTCATGTTAATGTGAATATTTATTGTTTTGTCATTTTCGCGCCGATCCGTCTTAAATATTTTCGTGACATTACAATGGAGTGGGGTAAAAAGACAACTGAATATACTACGCACCTAGAACCATGAAAAGGATGAGTCAGGACTTGCAGCCTACATATAAGAGACGCACTGATCATTGTTTAACTAATAATTTAAAATTAATTAAAAAGGTGTTAATATCAAAACAACGTCTTAATCGGTACGCAAAGGATACAGAAAATATTTATTTAATGACGCCTTTTTTTTACTATAGACCAACAGCGGTAGGCTAGTGGCTAAGGCATTGGACTTGCCATCAAGAAGTCGTGGGTTGTAAGCCTGACCTACTTTTTTTTTTTTCTTTTTTTTTCCGTGCGGAAATCCCCTCGGATACCACCGGTGGCATGTCGGACTCGAACCGACTAAAACCGCACGCCGTCTCGGGTACTAATAGCCGGGGAACCAGGTATACCCTAGAAAGGAACTCCCTTGTGCCCCGACATACCTCGGGCCATCTACAACAACAGGTAGACGACCCCCCCGTGTGGGAACCCCATGTTCCCTCTGCTCCCTGGAAGCGAGCGCTTCGCAACGCGCTCGCCGCCACCCCGGCCTGCTTCTGCTAGGGTGACAGATGGCCTCACCTGTCACCCCCAGGCCTGCGCTTATGGAGGACGGAGGTCGTTCTGCGATCGGAAATCACATGGTCCGAGTGCTTTCCAGAGCAGGGCGCCTAAGGCCGTCCGTGGGGTAGTTTTTAGTGAACATACCACAAACTCCTGACTCCTACGTCACCAAGGAACTGGAGATCCGGAGGCATTTTTTACCCCATCACAAAAAGTACTTTTATTTATACTGTCGTATTTAGTTATTATAGGAATGGTGAGGCGATGACCCATTCGTATAATTACCAAACTTTTCTATGGGGGTTAAGGGGATTAATGGTTTCCAAACTTTCTTATGTATGTGTGCATGAGTGATATCGAGTGAAGTAGTCAGAAGTAGTAACAAGCTTTGTACGGTGCCGAGAGGATGCCAAGCTTTTTTACTTTTTTCTATAACATGTGATTCCCATTCAAAAAACGAAAATTATAAGGATGGATTATAAAATGGATAAGTAAAGACATAAAAATGATATATGTCCAAATAACCGTAATAATTAAAGGCCAATTGCCTTGCTACCGATCTTTTCAATTTTTTTTTAACAACATGGTTCTAGGAAAAAAAAAATATGTTGTGCATTTACTGTAGATTAAAATTGCTTTTTACAGCATATCATTTAAATGAATATTTTAGAAGATATTAGAGGTTTAAACTCCAACAAAAAAACAACCGTCGAGCCATACGCACCCATACGTCCGTCCCGGGTGGCAGCGGCCGCCAGTATCGGAGCGGGACTATAAATATTGCATTTAAAGGTGTCCTGTAGTATACTTAGTCCTATCCATATCAATGGTCCTATCATAATAATAGTATAATGAACTACTGCACACTGATACCGCATTAGTAGTATTAGTAGCGTCTACATTGCACCCGAGCGAAGCCGGGGCGGATCGCTAGTAAAGTAAAAAATAAATAAAGGAATATTTTTAGACTTGCAACGAATAGTATATTCGGCAGTATACCGAATACCGAATATTCGGCGAGGCGCCTGACCGAATAGCCGTATATTAGGCAAAAGTATTCGGCTGGATTTTAGCGCCAAAAACTTGTACCTGTTTTATGTACCAATGACTACTTAATAAATGATTATAAAAGAAATGAGAACCTTACCCTTCTAAATGTTGATTACCACAATAATTCAAATACATAGAATCCTCCATTTTTCCTATTCAGAAGATGATTATGTAGCTGTGTTATGCACCAATGACTACTTAAATGATTATAACAGAAATGAAAATATGAATATATACGTAATCAATCGATTTTAATTTTTCATTTTACCAATTATTTCTCAATGACAAAATATATTATTTAAGTATTCGGTATTCGGCCGAATAATATGCAGATATTCGGTATTCGGCCGAATATAATAAAAGCAGCCGAATAGGCCGAATACCGAATAGTAACCGAATATTCGTTGCAAGTCTAAATATTTTCCATTGTCTTATTCAGTTTTGCCGCGTCTTGTACTAGATGCGGCGCGGTCGAGGAAACCGTTACAAGTAGTGAAAGTTGGTGAGATGAAAGAGTACTCAAACCACTAGTGGCCTATATTCGATACAGACCTTCTGGTCCTGAGCGAACGCGGCTCTGCCCACGCCTCGCGGATAGTGTTGAGAGCGTCCCGTAGAGCCGGCGACGCGCCGCCCCTCGGCGCGACCCCTGTAACAATAACACCTTCATGTCAGCGGCAATTACAGGACACATGTGTACTGAAGTTGATACTAGCAACACGCAATGCCCAGTAAAACATTATTTGATGGTCTGTGATCAGGCCAAATGAATATGAATGGCCGACCTAAGTAGCAGAAATGTTTATAAACTCTGTATACTACAACATTATACTCACTCGCAATGTGGTAAGTTCTTTTTATTTAATATACTTGACACACTTTACAATTAGTCTGGCAGGATGTGAGCGGATCGCAGCAGTGTCACACGGCAAAGCAGTTCGGCAGTTGTTTTAAACCATTGCACGCACACAGATTATCCCCTAATGAGGGGGTACACTGTGTGCACGCACCACACTTCGTCATGTGTTATACTTCTTTGTTATGCAGCTACGCTATATTCGCCCAAATATTTGTTACCTAGAATTTGTATTGTTGTACCCATATTGTGTTGTTTCGCACAATCATAATCCACACTAAACACAAGATCGACGTGTTGACTGCGGCACGGGCATATTTTTATTTTCACCTCAATGCTCCTCACTAATGCCTGTTTTATAAATAAGTACAAAGTTATTAAAGACTGCATCGAAAGCGCATCTGTGTCATCATTTCTTCTGTCTAAATGTAATTACTACTATAACCTTTTGCCCGCGGCTCCGCCCGCGTTTATGTCGGTTATAATAGTATAGGTAAATAGTAGCATATGTCCTTCCTCAAGAATCAAATTATCTGCACACCAAATTTTCTCTAAATCGGTTTAGCGGTTTAAGCGTGAAGAGGTAACAGACAGACAGAACCACTTTCGCATTTACAATATTAGTGTGGATATGTTTTTTTTCCCAAACACAAGGCTGATATATCGGGCATCGGCAAGGCCTGATATCATTCCAAAAATCTCATTATTAATCTTCCACTCCATTTTGCGGTCTAAGTGTCCGTTTTAATGAATGTTTGTTAAGTCCCCCGCGACACAGGATATTCCTAGTGCGGGAGTTATCTTTAGACTAGTACGCCATGCGTGCTGTAGAAAACTTTAAAAGAGATTAGTTAAAGTAATATATTATTTCCGTAGCTCGTTGTTTAGTTAAATCATTACTATCATTGCGTCTCTAAAGGTAAGAGTACTTATTTAGTTTGCGAAGGCAACAAACGGGTTTTACTGTAAATATGCACAAATGAGAGTAGTAGGCCCTGCAATAATAAAAAAGCAACAGACCTGTTTTCATATATTTTGTCACGCTTAAAACGATTAGTCATCCCTTCTAATACGCTCCGCACTGCGCCGGAGCGAGACAGCTAGAGTGATTCTAGCGGACCGCGAGCGCGCTCGGTCCCGTTACCGCGCCGCGCAGTGTCCCTCGTGTCGCCACGGGTGTTGGTCGCCCGCAGCCGGTTTCTAGATTTATTTAGTGACTTACGTATTGGGTAGTACAGCCTGCATTACTCTTCTATCACTCATTTTCTTACGTATGTTATCTGTGACAGTGTAGCAATGACTACAGTTAAGCGAAAAGCTTTGTCACTGCAAGAAAAAATGAAAATATTGAAAATTTTTGATGAAAACTCACAAACAAAAAACCAGACTCAGTTAGCTGCTGAGCTTCAGTTACCGACTTCTACGTTACGTACTATTTTAAAAAATAGAGAGGAAATTATAGAAAAATACAGTTTAGGAGGTGTGGGGAGAAAAAAGCTAAAAGCAGGCAAATTTGTTAAATTAGAGAAAGTTTTAATCGAATGGTTTCATCGAGCGCGAGCTTCAAAACTACCCATAAATGGGCGCATATTGTGCGATAAAGCACGTGAAATTGCTGACAACTTACAAATCACAGATTTTAACGCCTCAAGTGGCTGGATAGATCGTTTCAAAAATCGTCACGGCATTGTGTACCGGCAACGCAGTGGGGATTCAGAGACAGCGCCAGAACTTACATGGATGGCAACACTTCCTGCGACTGTAGATCCATCATACGAAGTGGACGTCGTGTTGGAAGAAGCGGAACCCGTGGTACTGGAGAGTTTACCAATTGTAACAAACGTCCAGGCGTTATCAGCAGTGAATGTTCTGAGGCGCTATATGTCTGCCTTGGACGAAAGTGAAGACGCGCTGGACAAGTTATATTACATTGAAAGTCTTGTGATTGCTAACACAGCAAAGTCTATCTGTGAAACCAAAACGAGTGATTAGTTTAAGAACCTGATCTATCCATATATAATGTTAAGGTTGTTTGTGTACACTTCAAAAACTCAAAAAGTTTTGCACCCCTTGAGCTCAAATATTGACACGATATACAACCCGCTTCAAAGATTGTTTATATTTTTATTTTCTGCGTTATTTTCGTTCCTTATTTGTTATCAACGCAACCACGAAGTGCCGCAGCGAAGCGTGGCAGGCGGCGGGCGGCAGGCAGGGTACAGACGTACAGTTACTACGATTATAAATACGTGAATGGAATTTCCATAACTTTCTAACAACTTTATATGTACATAAGATATTTTAAACAATTTGATTACTCAAAATGATTGAGTTTCACCGTAATAAAATATTTGTTCTGCACTTTACGTTTCATTTCATCCACAAAAATAAGTGTTTAGTAGCAAAGCCTTACCTGTTGTGAAAAAAAAACCGAGATTTAATGTTTCTTATAACAATACTGACTGCACGGATAGCGTAGTGGTTTAAAGCAGCGTCCACACTATGCCGGAGTATGCCGGGCGAGGCCGGGCGGGCTGACCCGGGCGGCCTAAGCCGGGAGGGTTCGTTCGGGCCGGCACGACGTCCACACCGAAAACGAGGCCGCCCGGGTTATATCTACCTATTAGTTTCAATTCGACACCAAGACTGGACATCTAAAGCCGCCCGGTGCCGCTCGGCACGTCCCCACTACATATTTTCGTTCGGCTCGGGCCGGCATCCTTTGATCTGTACCTACTTTCTGCGGGTTGGGATCGGCTCGGCTCGGGCCGGCTTTTTAAGCCGCCCGGGGCGTCCACACCAACCCGGCTTAGGCCGCCCGGGTCAGCCCGCTCGGCCTCGCCCGGCATAGTGTGGACGCTGCTTAAGAAGACATTCGACCGCAGATGTGGATTGCTGATGTTTCGGATCACTTGTCTGAATTGATACTTTATAATTTATATATTTTGTTCTGACGATTCGATAATATTAACTTTAAAGCTGTTTTGTACAGTCAGGCAAAAAACAGCTTGTAAGCCAACACATGACTATAATATAATTTAAAAAAAAACTCAAATCCGTCATTCAATCCGTCATTTTGTATGAAAATCAAAATCTCATAAATGTAGGTTTGAATCTACAATACAATAATCAAATAGGAATTTAATTAGGTAGTTTGAGTGGTAGAAAACATTAACATTGATTTAGTTTTTCTAATTATTTACAAAATATCTAAACGTTATTTTAGACCCTGCAGACATCCTGCAGTTACACTCTCATCTAACCCAAATGATTCACCAACAATAGAGGGGATCTGGGCTTCGCTCTCACTTCACTCGCATGCTTCGCGCTTTAATGGTCACTGTTCTAACCTAACCCAAACTTTACCGTATGCTCGGTCTGTACCTTGTGGTGTACCTTGGCAGTCTGCAGATTGTCGAGTTAATGTAAGAACTGAACCTATTTTATCTACTTTACGGACTCAAACAAATAATCTGCAGATTAATAAGTTAATCTGCACTCTAACTGATTTGTGCACTTTAGCGGTAACATACATATTATTATAAGCAAACCATGTTTTTATCTTACTGTACAAAACAACTTTTTTGGGTGGATTCCGAATTTGTCAGTGAAATAAATTATTGTTAAAAAAACAAAAATAAAATTAATAATAATAAATTAATAAAATATTTTTGGTTTTTTTTAAATAATTTTCTACAAGTTCATAAAGAATAACCATTTTATCCTAAAATACGTTGGGTGCCGACAGTTGGGTACAGACGTCAATTGTTGTAAATATTTTATTGACTAATATTTGTAAAAGTAAAGTTAATACATTATAAAATATTTTGCCGCACCCCACGCATTTTACTATAAAATGTTTTTTTTTTGAACTTATAGAAAATTATTTTCCCGTTTTTAGTTCAGCATCACAAAAGTGTTTTTTTTTTAAGTTTTTTTAAACTAAGTATATCTTGTTTTTGCTTTTTTTAGTCATTAATGATGATTATTTTCTTATTAAGACTGAAAAAGTAACAAGTAAAGTAAGTCACATGCGCTCCTTAGTACTTGTCACAAGACACTACCGTGTTCTTATGTGTAAATGGAAAAGCCGTTAATCTTGAAGGACCTGATCAGGATAATTATCATATTTTTTTAAACTTTGCCAAAGGTATATAAACTGACTATATAACTGCAATAACTAAACGTTCAAGTGTTGTTAACAAAATCCATTCCTACATTTCATATACGTTTTCTAAACTTGTCGTGCATAAAATATAAATAACATAAAACGATACATGTGTTTACATCGATATTTATGAATGAGCTCACTAGTGTATTTAGCAGTTAAAAACAAATATTTTTATTACTAATGTTGACTGTACAGATTAGACGAAGTAATAAAGGAATTATTGTTTTGAATCCATTCATTTAAGGAAAGATACCTACTAACAATTTTTATTCCAATCGATTTGATCAATCGTGAACAAAAAAATCGTAAACAAATGATTTTGATTTTAATAAATAAGGTACTTAACGTTACCTTGCTGACAGCAATGACAACTCTTTTGTGACAGCCAGCTGTCAAATAGTATCTACTTCAGTACAGCCTATATGTAAACTACAAACTGAAATAACCTTTGAACGAAAAGTTCTAAAAATCTGGTAATTAAAACTGTAATTGTTCATGATATTACAAGACAGATAAGCCAATAATCCCAACTATAAGGTTCGCAAGGCGGTACAAAAGTCCCACAGATGCCTGCCATCGTCCTTTATTAAATTATAATTATTGTATTGTCACCGGTCCTTATAGATATATACATACATACATACCAAGCTAAAATCGTGTTAAAAATATTAAAGAAGCGTCATAACAGACAAGTGTGTGAAACGTCAGCAGGCCGCAGATCTGTGACGATGTAGCGGTCTACCACGATAGCGCTTGATGTGCGGGAATAATAAAATAAAATATTTTTTTTATGATATTCAATACCAAAATGAGTACGTGTTCAGTTTTATTTTCCCTATTCCGCATATTACGCTTTCTCGCCACCTATTTTTGGCTGGAGGACCTGAGACCCATTGAAATCATCTCAAATGGGTGTGACAGTATACGTCCAATATGACTTTACACGAAAATTTTCTTAAGCAACCGTCCAAAGCAACCACCAGGGGGTGGCCCGCGCTATACGACCCTTAGCCATAGTAGGTATGCGTTACTGGCATTTATTCGTAGGAATGTACCTTTCTATGACTCGAACCTCAGAATACCAGTTACATTGTTACACACAGAATTACTTTGATTTAATTAAGGTAAAGGCAAATATTTTATTGATAGCTACAGTCAACTAATTAATTGCTAATAACTAGGTAATAAATAGTTAAAAATCTTAACAAGCGCATGTATTAGGGTTCCGTAACTCAAAAGGAAGAAACGTAACCCTTATAGGATCACTTTGTTGTCCGTCTATCTGTCCGTCCGTCCGAGTTGAAATCAAAACCATATATTTAGGTCTAGAGTCCCCTGAAGCTGTGAAAAAATCAAACTTCTAAATTAACGTGAAAATGTTTATACCGCAAAAAACGCCTGGTACTTCCCGTTGACCTAAAACTATAAAATTTGGCAATTAACATCGTCTTATTGTACAAGTACAGGGAAAATCTGAAAACTATACATTTATAATTAAATCATGAAAAACATTTACATAAACAACAACAAAGTTTTTATTAAAAGTACATAATCAATCATCGAGGTACAATTTTACTTATAAAACACAATAATATGTTGTTGGTCTAGTGGTTAATGACCCTGACTGCTAAGCCGGAGTTCGTGGGTTCGATTCCCACCCAGGACAAATATTTGTGTGATGAGCACGTGTCTGGGTGTCATTTATCTATAATATGTATGTATTTAGAAATATATAAGTATGTTTATCAGCAGTCTGGTTACGATAGTACAGGCTCTTGCTAGTTTGGGATCAGACAGCCGTGTGTGAGATGTGTGAGGTTATAACTTATAGGTTTTAGAAAAGGAATTTCGGGAGAAGCCCAAAAAACTACGAGATGTGATTCCTGAACTATTTATAATATGTACCTACAAGTTTGTATGGAACCCTCAATAGGCGAGCCCGACTTGCACTTGTCATGATTTTTACCGCTTAGAAAGTATTTGCTTGTTTAAGTAAGTCCTTTTGTAGTGACCCTGTGTCGAACGATATACATATATACTGACCAGGGCCTCAATTCTACCTTATTTTAATATTGTATCAATATACTGTCAATGGAGTATCGTCGGAATAGTTTTGCACTTTTCTTATTCTATTAACTTTGTAAGACCATGACCAATGCCCTCCCGATGACTTGTCACTGATACAAATGTCGTCGATGTCTTTGTAATAGTTTACATTATACAGTTTACATAGGGTACATTTTAAATTTGTAAGAAAATGATATATTTAATTTTCATGATATGGCAATATAGTTCATATCACCATTGATACTATATCGACACTCTATTGACATAGTGAATTTATGTTAGTAGAATACCGATATTTTGACCGATATCAGTGGCATCTCAATAGCGTGACAATGGAATGACAGTGGCTTGGCGTTAGCATAAAATAGCAGAATTGAGGCCCAGATCGACCGCAGTACAGTTACGGAAGAAGGACTTCGTTTAAAGCACCCACGTCCGGGGTGCGTGAATGAAGACCTGGTAAAACAAAAAGATACTCCGTTGTTTAAATACCTACAGAAAAATAACGGGTTACCATTCTAAGGGAGTATGTATTTAGGTCGTAGGTAGGTAACGCGTTATTATTCTGAGCCTACTCCATATCCCTGAGTAAATATGAAAATATTTTGTGTTTATTTTGTATTTTCTGTGATATAATTGATTAGATACGAGTTTCGCCGCGCCTGTCTATGAATAACTACTTAATATTAAAAGCATCACATTTAGAAGAAGATTGTGATTTTTACATAGAACAGTAGACATTTGTGCTAAGAAC